AAAACCAGCCACCCAGCTGTACTAGAAATTAAGCAGCTGAGCATAAAGTGAGACTGATTATAGGGTTACCTGAAAAGGGGAATTGAAGCTTTATAGAATGAGAGGACTTTCTTACTAATCATTTGAAAAAGAAAGAGAAGACACCAGAAACGAAACTGGACAGGAGAAGGCAAAGAGAACACTTAACATCCTAGAGGACTTGGATCCAAACTCAAACACTGGTTGAGGAATGAGAGACAACTGAGGCAGGGAAGGGGCATATTTTTGCTTCATGTTTTGCTTGGATTTGCATCGCCGTTGTGCTGTCTAAAATAGTTACAATCCCTGTTATTTCTAATCCAAAATAAATTTCAGTGAAATGAACTAAGGAGCATTTCAATACGATATTATCTATCTTAAAAGTGCACAGTTTTATTTGGACTTAGTAAAACTTCAACTCTACTTGGCGACTTTTTGGTCCCTGGAGTGGTAGCTTAAGATCTTCTTCACTGTTCTTCTCCTGTCCGAAACGTTTTCACATGTTCACAGAGTTAAACTCAATTGAAATGACTCATTTTGATAATCCACAGTACTGCTTTTAGATAATCCTTAAAATAATTCTGAATAAAAATGTGCCGTCAAACAAGCTTTCAGCATCTGCATATTACATGTTCCAAAGTCGGTGTGTAATATACTTCTAATTTTTTCAATTGTTTTTCTCACATTTATTCAAATTTCATGCCAACAAGCATCAATATTAAATTCAGGATATTACTGTGGTATCTTTAAGATATTTAAAACCTCAAGTGGGAAGATACACATCTGGAGGTGAAATTAATTTAGCTTTAATCTGTTAAATTTGGGGGAAATTTCAGGTTTGATTCTGTGATTCTTCTCCTCAGCTGGAGAAAGCAGGATGCAAAGCACTGGCTTTAAATTGCAACAAAACAGTTTTAGATTATCTTTCAGGATGAACTTCCTTAGTGTTAAAACAGTGAGGCACTGGAATAGCCTGCCCTGGGAAGCTATAAAATCTCCTTCATTGGAGTTTTTAAAAAGAAGGCTGGATAAGCATTGGACAGGGATGATTTAGAAGTATTCCTGCATTTGTGTAAGGGCTTGGACCAGGTGACCTCCAACCTTATGATTCTGTTATCTCAAGCAGTCATTTGAATTGTCCCCTCTCTCATCATTGAAGCTCTTTGTCACTTCTGTACTTGCTGTTCAGCAATCTAGTTAGGGGCCTTAACCCAAAGTCCACTGATTTCAGTGGGTATTGATTTGAAAACAGTGGTTGGCTCAGCACAAAGAATGCCAGATCTACCAGGTTCCCAGAATGAATTCTGGAGAAAGAAGAAAACAAGATAAAAAATCCCCAGAAAAAATCCTCTCTTATGCTTCAGTGGGTGTCCATTAGCCTTACTCATGTTATCCCTGACCTTCCCTCCATAACTTCTTCCTGATACTCATACGCAGTTCTGACTTCAGATAATTTTTGAAAGCAGAGCGGAAGCTGTTTGGATGTACACAAGCCAGGATTTGAGCTTCTGCAGAATGTCAGTAATTCCAATGGGGCTCCATGAAGATGCAAGGGGAAAGGGGTATATCTGTTCCAAAGTAATCACTGAAAATGCATACAAGTGTTCACCGCACCTACTCTATATTCATATGTCTTACTTTAAGCCACATTAACCTAGGCTGAGAGCAGCATATGCAGGCATTTGCCACTCCCAGGAGCTGCAGAGGAAACCAGAATAAGTAACTTGGAGTGAGGGAAGGGGAAGGAAGGGCACATTTGTGAGGGCCTAGTACATTTGTGGGGAAGGGTTGACAGCATTAGGGATTGGCAGGTCTGCAGGGGAGAAGACAGGGTGGTTATTTGGTCCATGGCAGGAGTAGTCTGTCTTGGAGGGTGGCAGGGTCAGAAGGTCAAAAATAGCCTGGTTAAGGTCAGTGGGGGTTGGTGGGGTAGGAAGAGCACAGCCCTAGGGCTGGGGCAAATGCCTGGGCTTTCCCAGCCCTAGGATTATACTCTGAATGCATACAGGTATTCAATAGTTCAGGTTAACCCATTCCTGATCTCAGTCAGTTCACTTCCTCAGGTGAACAAACTTAAATCAAGTGTGCCATTTTTGCCCATTTAACTCCCCTGAATGCCTGCACCAATGAGCATTTAGATCAACCTAACCTTGGTTAGGTCGACCTAAATGTAGCAGCTGTATGTACCCTAGATCAGTCCCTAGAGCTCTGCCAACCTGCAAGAGAAAAGGCACAGTTTCCCAGGTTTCTCTCATTTAAAGGACAATCCATTTTTAAAATGTCATCCATTTTTTAAGTTTGTTTGTGACCCGTTCATATATTCTTGCGACTCACTTTTGGGTCACAACCCACAGGTTGAGAAACACTGCCCTAGATTGAGACCTTTACTGGCCAACTCTCTGGCACATGAGTTGCATCATCTTCATTTTTTATTGTAGCTACTTACTAGTACTAGAAAAGAGGATGTTACATAAGGCAGGTTCCAATTTGGTTCCGTTAACATTTTGGAATAGTATTTATTCTCCATGCTTATTCAGCCATCTCTGGTTAAGCATCAATCAATGAGATTCTGTTTTCCATTTACTTTTCTAACACTTTTATGTTAAATACAACCTTTGCTTAGAGCTATTTCCTATTACTTATCAACTAATAAACATGTAGTAGAAAATCAATATTGAAAAAAAAAAGTATTTATGTAAGAAAATATAAGCTTATTGAGCATTCAGTTTTCTAATATATCGTTTGTTACATTTAAATTTTGAATTATTAGCAATCTCCAAAATGGGCAGTATTAAGTTAACAATAGTGTTGGCTAAGTGTCTTCGAGGTATAAACAAGGAAAAATACAATAAAAGACTATTATTTGTATAACATGAATGCTTCCTAAAGTAACTTAGATGCTTCCATTTTACTTGAATATTGTTTTTTGTTTCCTCTATTAAATAGTGCTTAAAAACCACAACTTCAGTCAATCAGTAAACAGAATCATTACTTCTAAGTGTTGCAAATTCTGAATCAAGGATTTCATTTAATTTTCCAAGTGGAATAATGCATATAGATGAGGATGTCAAATTGCAAGTAACCTGTATTAAAATGGCATTTACAGTGCTTATGGTAAGTAATCAACATTATTGACTTAACTTGGGGATTTAAAGTGCTGAAAAACACTAGCAGAATAAATTGATTAGAAGAATGAAGAAGTGCAGCGCTGTGTTAAAGATCTGAAATGAAAGTGAAGCACATTGTATTATTTTGTACTTCAGAAGTATATATGCATATATGTATAGATACACATGGATAATGTCTGCACTATTGATTTAATTTCCCGTAGGGACAAAAGAAAGAATACTGACTATGGTTTGAATGGTTATGTTGGGATTCGTTATCAATGTTAAAATACAAATTGTTGGCTATGTAATATGGATTTAGTGCCCCTGCTGAACTTTTTCCATTAGCAGCTAATAGCTATCAAGGTTTACTTTTCATAATTTTGAATGCTCTTTATTTTTTGTTCCATAAATCACCACTGTAGTGCAGGAAACCTTTCTAGAAATGATGATGAAATTCAAATTATTAATTTGTAAATCCATGAATCATAGACTCATATCTGTCAGTAGGAGCATTACTGCATAAGAAATCACAGATTACTATATTATAGTTAGAACTACCAGAGCTGGAATAGGGAAGTGTCTTTCAGCATTTTCCTAATAAACTTGGTTTTGAGATATTTGTATTAACCAAAAGTAACACTTTGCTGGACTTAGGACATATCAGAGAGCTCTCAGGCTATGAAGAATCTTTTTACATTTAAATGTTTTCCTAAATCTTTTGGGCTGTTATGAAATAAAACCTGTCAGTGTTTGTTGTGGTGTTTGTCATTACTCTGATGTCTTGGGAGAGCAAAGTTTTCAAAAATAAAAAAAAAAAAAATACTAGGGCCAGATTGTGATACTCTTGCTCAGTTAAGCAGCATCTTACTCCACAAGTTGTCTCATTGATTTCAATGGAATTATTTTTCAGGTTAAAATATTACTCAAGATAGCCATAGCATAACTGTACTATGGACTTCAGTGAACAAAATACAATGCTTGTACAGTAACTAAACTCTAGCTCATGAGAGTGTCACCTTGGGCTGATATCTTGTCAGATCTTATCAAGGCAACATCCATCCTGACCAACATCTGGATGAAAGAACCTTGAGGGAAACCCATATTTCGCATGTACTAGTAATAATAGTAGTGAGTAGCTTTAGATCAGTACCCTCTTATGACAGTATGGGGAACATAGTGCTATTGAGGCTGCCATGTCTAGGATAACATAAAAGAGGCCCTGGTACTTTTGCTCCTTAAAGATCCCATCTTATTTTTCACAAAAGTAAAAGTGAAAAATAACCAGGTGCTTCTCTCTCTACAAATACATACAAGTCTTGACCCAATATCAGTTCTGCCTTACTTAATTTGTTGTGTCATATTTTTACTGCATTTTTCCCCCAATAGGCAACTGGATTTTAGTGATGGGCAAAATGCTACATAGCTCCCTCTAAATAGATATGAAATATCATGTGAAAAATGGTGGGGGATCTTGCCAGTTAAAATTCTATATAATGCCCCAATCCTGGTTTACTCCTAGAAGTTGCACTAGAAATGAGTAGTTATGACTCTTATCCTCAATAAGGTCAATGGGAAATATCAATAGGAATTTAGCTTAAGTAAGGTCTACACAATTAGATCTGAGTTTTAGCCATCTTTTATGGATTTATTCATAGATCCATAGATTGTTAGGGCTGGAAGGGACCTTGCAGATCACCGGGTCCAGCCCCGCCACTCTAGGCAGGAAGAGAACAGGGGTCAAGTTACCCCAGCAAGTGAATGTCCAGTGTGTCGCATTTTTACATGTTCATGCTTTAATTATACATCATGGTTATGAATGCATATTAACATACTTAATACAATGTCCTAATAACATGAACAATAAGAATAGTCTCCTGCTATCTTTGTGAGGCACGATGAGTGGCCTGTAGAAATAGATATTTGTAAATTCAGTATGTATTCAGAAGTAGATCCTGGATTTTGCAAAGGGAGGCATGGGGCTAGCTGCACTCCCTGTTCCCAGCCTCCCCCTGCTCCCTCTGGGTTGGGCAGACCACACCATGGGAACAACAATTGGGAACATTTTTAAGTCCCCAAAGCAGGTAAGAATTCCTTCCCTACCCTGCTCACATCATGTTTCCCTCCCCCACCCCCCATCCATAACCAGCCACCACTGCTGTCCCTGTGGTACTGAAGGTGAAGGGAGTTTCAGGGCAGGGCCACTCCATCCAGGCTGCACAGGAGCTAGGCTTAGACCAGGACAGCAGCAACTGCAGGTGAGTGTGTTCCCCCCGCCCACACCTGCTCCATGGCTGGTGGGGAACACCTGGCGGGGGCAAGCAAGGAAAGAGAACCAGCCAACCCACTGCCACTGTCCCAGGATGAGCACAGCCCCCCGTGTAGCCTGGGTGTAGTGGGTTTAGGAGCCTCCCTCACCCCGGGGGCAGTGGCAGTTGGGGGAGGAGAGGATGCATGGGTAAGGGGCAAGGATGGAATAAGGCTCCAAGCCTGGAAGGGAAGTGGGAAGGGGAAAATCTAATCTTCTTTAGGGACTTACAGATCTAGCTGCTGCTCCTGATGTGAGGTCAGAAAGTGGGGTGCAGCCACACCACTGCTCCCTCACTGGATCTGCCAAACATTTATTGGGTACAACCCTATCTTAACAGACCATTATTTAGTTTGTAAAAAGTCAATCACATGAAAGTTAGGAAATGCCAGATTTATGGATGCCCGTGCAACTTAATTTTGATTTGTTGTACGTCAAAATAGGGCAACGGTCTTCTGGAAAAAAATAGTATGTAAACTTATAGGCTGCATACAGACATTTGGGGAGGTTAGATAGAGTTAAAAATAGCCACCTAATCTAAGGTAAGTTAGGATGGGTAGGGCTAGCGGTGGGGTCTTGATGGGGTTGGAAGGGCAAGCAGGAGATTTGGGGTGGGAGGAAGCAAAGTCCATGGGGCAGAGTCCATAAGAGGAATCGGGAGAACAGGTGGAGTCTGCTGGAGGGTTGGTGGGGTCTGAGAGGGTTTGGCAGTATCAGGAGGCTCACAGGGTCTACAGAGGGATGGAGTGCTCTAACCCCCATCCCAGGGACCAGGGTCTATTACTCCTGAGAAAAACAACCCCACCTGGCAAATCAACCCTCCCATCCTGCCTGCCCTTCTCCCTACCCTGACTTACCTCCTCAGCTCCAAGCATCAATGCTAATAAAAACAGCAGGAGTGGTTTGCAGGATGGAGGGTTTGGCAGACTTGGGGGCTGAGAGGGGCTAGCTGATCAGCAGAGGGTAGAGAGTTGTTCATCGAGGTGGAGCAAAGGGAGGAGGACTAAAAATAGCCCAATGCTAGGTGGGGGCTATGAAAAGTGCAGCCTCAGGGCAGGGGTCAGCAGCTAGGTTTTCCCAGCCCTGGGGCTGTTCTGGGAACTGTATAAAAGTTTGGGACAGTTAAATCAGTCTAAAAATGTCCAACCCAATCTAAGTTAGGCTGCCTCGCAGGTAGGGTTAACTTAGATTGGGTCAGGCATTTTTAGACTGATCTAACCTTCCTGGAGCTTCTGTACAGTTCATGCTTAGATCAACCTAACTACAGATCTAAGCATACAGTCCACTCCTGTGTGAACAAAGTTAGACTAGGTGTCCATTTCTAATGTGATCTAACATCCCCCTACCTCCCCAAATGTCTGTCCATTGCCATAATGTAGACTCTGTTAATGCAACTGTACTGAGGAGCTTACTGAAGGTAGCAAGGACTACCATTACATTTCTTGTTTCCTTACTTTTATTTAATTTTAAACACGTTTGTTCAAATTAAAATTTAAACATAACTTGTTTTTACTTTACAAAAAATGCATACAACAATCTGTGTTATATGCAGATGCTAACCCTGTTCATGCATCAACAAGAAGGTTTGGGAGAACTGAGCCTGCAGCACTGCAATACGAATAGCTTACTCATGGTGTTACATTTAGGTGGCACTTGGTTGACTTAGTTGAAGAAAGGTACCCAAGGCAATGATTCCCAGTCAGGGTGCCACAACACCCTGGTGTGCCTTGAGATCCTTTCCAGGGTGTTGTGGGGTGCCACACACTGTTAGGTGTGGAAATATGATTTACAAGATAAACCCAGAAATTTCAAATAGGAATCCATAGTATTAAAACCATCCTTACCTGTTGCGGTCTTTCTAGTTCTTTGCTACAAAAGAATTGCTCTGTTTTTCTGTGGACAAAAAGTGTGAGAGCTCAGAGCTGGCATTTTCAGAGGGGTGCTTTGCATCTATCAAGGGGTGCCTCAAGTCTAATAAAGTTGAGAACCACTGACCTAAGGAGAGAGAAGGAAAGACTAAAGGACAAGGTTCTGTGTCTTAAGTTCAGAAGAGATCAGGCCAGCTCTTTTACCTCCTTAACTTTCTCCTCATCAGTACAGCTCATCTGGCAGCTCCCTTTCATTCCCAGTGCAGCTGCTGTTGCTTTGGCTTCTGTGGCAGGACCCAGCTCTTTATAATGTTCATGTTCTGCAATTTTGGCAGGCTGGCATAACTTTCTGTAGAAAAGCAGCAATGACAATTATTAGCTATTTTTTTTTATTTCAGCACTTCTCTTGCTAAGGAGTCATTC